GGTAGGACAGGTGAGATGTAGGACAGGTGAGGGGTAGGACATGTGAGGATAGGATAGGTGAGGGGTAGGACAGGTGAGGGGTAGGACAAGTGCTTGGCATGCCATAAAGCTGTCCATTCTCTGATGCTCTAATATTCTGGCTTCACTTCTTGCTATTCAACAACTCCCAACCATCTCCATGCTGGAAACACATTGTATTTGTAGGACTATGATGCTGTCTAGCCGTATATGAATACCTTACCCTTAACCCTTTGCCTGCCTAATTCTTCTCCAGCCTTCAAGGTCTGATTCTGTGCCTCCTACATGGAGTGGCTTTCCTGAAAAGCCTCACCTCCCTGCCCTCAAGAGTGTGGGATGGACACCAGATACTACTGCAATCCCATTTCCACAGGTCATCCCCCATCAGCGGCAGCTCATTGGGGACCGTATGGTCCACATTCATGCTCAGCCCTCTCTGTGCTCTGAGAAAGGGTGATTACAGACCACATCTCACAGACATCCTTCCAGCAGACTGCCAGGAGTCCAGCTGCTGATAGAGGGAAGGGAAAGGGAGAGTGCAGCAAGGCATCCTACCCACCCCAACACTCCTCACCCCTGCAAATGACCCCATACGAGGGGGCAGTACCCCAAGCATCTATTGACAGCATGGTCTTCTATCACAAGGCATCACCCTCCTGAACTCTGGTACCATGATTCCTGCCCTGAGCCCTTTAGCTTAGGGTCACTGTCCCAGTTTCTAGGTACTTCAGTATCTACCCTTCAGTTGTTCCCTTAAGCCTTCAATAGTCCCTTAAGACCCATCATTGAAACCATCAAAGGGAGTTATGTTCCCTGCAAAGAACTCACGGATATAGCTCAAACCTCATGTTGCTCACTTTCCCATCAGTAGCTTAATAAATTTAAAGCGTTTCCAAGCCTTAACCAAAAGGCAATATTTTTGTCATGGCAAAAACCCAGATACTTTTGTATAACTAAGTGAAGGGTCCATTCTTTCTAAGGGTGAAAAACTATATAATGAAATATTTTAAACATATGCACTTTATATCATTGTCTGTTTTTTGAATATAAAGATAGTTTTACCAAAACCTTTGCTACATAATGTACTTAGGAAACAGAGTTGAAATTAAAAGGGGAAACTTACCATTGTAATTTCTGTTTTCAAACACATGCCAACATTCATCTTTTCCCGCTGTGAAGGTGCTGCTTTAAGCAGGCACTTCAAGGGGCCCACAGGTAAACACAAACACACAAAAACATACTCACCCTGAATACAGTGCCCTCAGGCCTTCTTCTCGGCCTATCCTCATCAGCGCGTGCAACATTCCTCGGTACCTGAGCTCCCTGAAATTGGCATCATTTGTCTGGCCTTGAATCTGAAGCCGTGTCTTAGTTAAATCAATTGGAAACGTGCCTTAAAATGTTAAAAAAAAAAAAAAAAAAAAAAAGAGAGAGAGAGAGAGAAAATCTCCCTGAAAAAAGAAACATTAAGAAATGGCAAAGCTGGGGAAATAGTTCACTTGATAAAGCGTTTCCCTTACAAGCATGGAGGCCTGGATCTGACTCGCAAACCCCACATAAAAATGCTGAGCATGGTAGGACACTCTGGGGAGGCGGAAACAGGGGCTGGCTTGCTGACCATGTGCTCAAGCCTACCTAGCAAGTTCCAGGGTATTGAGAGACCTGTCCAAAAAAAAAAAAAAAAAAAAAAAAAAAAACAGGTGGACCCAAGGAATGACTGCCAAGGGTGAGTGCTGGCATTCTAGAACTCAGGAAGCAGAAGGAAGGTTAGTAGTTTGAGGTCAGCCTGGGCTATACAGCAACATCTTGTCTCCAAAAAAAGAACAAAAAAACAATTTAAAAAAAAGCAGAGGGTGGGCAAAAAATTAACAACTTCAACACTGTTGCTTTTGTTCTGGGAGCTAGGGCCTCATGTTGCCCAGCCTGGTCTTAAACTTGCTATGTAGCTGAAGCTGACCTTGAACTCCTGATCTGCCTTCTCCTACCTCCCACAACGCTGGTTTTATTTACTATGTCTATCTTTTCATAAAGCTGAGTGAGGAAGCAGAACTATCACAGAACACGGATAAACAAAATCATTTACACAAAGAGGAAATCCACTTAAAATCCTAAGTATTCTTTATACAAGAAAAGGCTAAGACTGGGATAAGTGACTGAACAGGTTTTAAAGTTTAAGGAATTTTCTTTGATAAATAAAATCGGATGAGGCAGGTAAGAATGCTTAATACTGACCTGACCAGTCTATGTACCCAAATCCACAGACTCTATCCTCAAATAGCAACTTTGGCTCACTAAGTCCAGGTTAACTCATTCAGGGACAGGAATCAGTCTTTCAAATTCCATAATCCATTCACAGAAAGCTGACCAGCATTAGTGAGTGGGTAATTCATGCACCTTGCAAGTCAACTGAGCAAAGGGAATGTTCAAGCCAGAAGCCAAGCAGTTAGCAAGTGCTTGATAAAACAGCACAAACCCAGGAGCAATACAATCAGATGTATAGCAAAGCGATCGGATGCAGAACCCAACTGATGGAATGGAGGTGATACACAAAGTTAGCGGTGGAGAGTCAGATTGCTGCTCTGGTTCAGAGAAGGCCCTGGAGCCTGCCAAACTTCTTGCAGACAAATGGATTCACAGTGGCAAAGCGGAGAAAAGGGCAAGGAAACCGGGTCAGATCAACCCAAATGGGAGTCATAAAACAGGCCAACTTTCTCCCTATGCACTTTAAACCCAAAGTCGCTAATAAGTAGCCAAAACAACTAGACTGTCTAAAACATACCCAAAGAAGGCATGTCTGAATATGGAGGGTATGATTTCACAAGCTTGCACTTGAACACCATGCACAAAAACACAAAACCCGACAGCCACCACATCGGTCAGGCAAAGCTTCAGTGGCCAGGGCTCTTACCACATTCTGCTGTGATGGAGGCCAGCCCTCCATACACAAAGGGCTTCCAGTTGAGGGCTGACATCTTCACTGTCTGGTCTTCTTAAGAGTTATTCAAACATTGCCTCCTACAGGTATGCCTCCAGGTTTGTTCTAGATACAAAAGAGAAAACAATTCAAAACCATAGTGTCTTAGTTACTGTCCTACCACTGTGAAGAGACTCTTACAAAGGACAGCATTTAACTGGGGCTGGCTTCCAGTTTCAGAGGTTAAGTCCATTATCATCATAGCAGGAGCATGGCTGCAGAAATGGCACTGGAGCAGCAGATCAGAGATATATCCTGATCTGCAAGCTAAGACAGACTGGGCCTGAGCTCTTGAAATGCCAAGGCCCACCCCAAGTGACGAACTTCCTCCAACAAGGCCACACCTCCTAATCCTTCTAATCCTATCAAACAGTTCCACTCCCTAAGTATTCAAATCAATGAGCCTATGGAGGCCATCCTTATTCAAACCACCACACAGACCTTCCCACATGGTCTGCTTGCCACATAGGCAGCTTCTGCTCCAAACTCTAACCCCTGGGTTTTATTCAGAGAATGTCCCCAAACAACCCTATCAGCAAAGCAGAGCCCCTGTGTCCTAGGCTCTGTGGTGGTTTGAGTAAAAATGATCCCAATAGGCTCATAGGGAGTGGCACTACTAAGAGGTGTGGCCTTGTTGGAGGAAGGTGTCACTACAGGTGGGCTTTGAGGCTTCAAATGTTCAAGCCAGGCCCAGTAGCTCACCATCACTTCCTGCTGCCTGCCCATCCAGATGCAGAACCCTCTGCTCCTTCTCCTGCATCATGTCTGCCTCTGTGCCACCATACTTTCTCCCATGATGATAATGACTGAACCTCTGAACTGTAAGCCATCCTCAAATAAATGTTTTCCATTATTTTGAGAGTTGCCATGGTCATGGTGTCTCATTAGAACAATTAAACAATAAAACAATTAGAACATTACACCTGGCATCATTACACCTGGCTTTTTAAATGTGTTCTGGAGATCAAACTCAGATCCTTGGCAAGCATTTTACCAGCTGAGCCCTCTCCCCAGCCCTCCCCACTAAAAACCAAATATCTGAAATGAACTGATGACTCTTACTATAGTCACCACTCTTTCTAGCCCTCCAAAACTCTCATTACCCCAAAGGCTGCTCCCACCCCTGCCTGTCATCTATATGACTGGTTTTCAGGAGCTTGATGTTATACACCCATCATGCAACTCTGTGGTACATGGGCTTCCTTAGTAATTCTTCTCCCATGGGTGCAGCCCAAGCATCGGTGCTGTTTCTGTAATTCTGTAAACTAAAGGCTGGCTCAGGGGCCCTGCAATCTAAATTTCTGCTTATAATGGCTGTTCTGCAATGGTGACATTACAGATGAGTCTTTTCGTTCATCTCAGTTACAGGTGTTTTTCTTTAATATGTAAACATGGATATATGTGGATGGGCATATCTGTACATACACACTCATAATACACATACATATACACACACAAACACACATGCCTCCAAAATGCCAGCAAATGTTTATGGAAAGTGGATGATCATTTACCAGCTAGAGAGATGGCTCAGTGGTTAAGAGCCCTGGTTGTTCTTCCAGAGAACCTGGGTTCAGTTCCCACATGGCAGCTCACAACTGTCTCTAACTCCTGTTCCAGGGAATCCAACACCCTCACACAGACACACAGGCAGACAAAACACCAATGTACATTTAAAAACAAAAATAAATATTTTTTAAGCTTACCTTTAATGTTTAGAAATTAACTACACTACCATCATACCCATGTGCACTGTCACTAATTAACTTTCTAGTTTTCTGTTGCTATTTCTGAATTATCCCTTTTTTTTTTTTTTTCTGAGACAGGGTTTCTCTGGGTAGCCCTGGCTGTCCTGGAACTCACTCTGTAGACCAGGCTGGCCTCAAACTCAGAAATTCACCTTTCTCTGCCTCCCAAGTGCTGGGATTAAAGCTGTGTACCACCACTGCCCGACTGAGCTATCTTTAGTTCTATTTGTTTTAATATTAAGTATTTCCCCCCTCAGTATTGGCTTGTTTTGTTTTTGAGGCAGTCTCTTATGCCAGGCTGATCAGGAACTTACTATGTAGACAAAGACAGCTCTGAACTTCTGATCTGCCTGCTTCCTGGAATTATAAGTTTGTATTACTACACTTGGCTTTATGCAGTGCTGAGAGTCAACCCCGGGGTTTCGTGCATGCTAGGTGTGATAACTAATCTTGGGTGTCTTTTTTACCCACCTAGGAAGGGGTAGGTAACCTCTATTGAAAAGGTGGCCTGCGGGTATGTCTGTGGGGCACTTTCTTGATGATTAATTGGTGTGAGAAGTACTGTCTCTTGGTAAGTGGTGCTATATAAGAAAGGTAGCTGAATGTGAGCCTGGAAGCAGGTCATTAGCAGTGGTCCTCTGTGATTCTGCCTTTACTTCCCCTGAGGGTGGACTACGCGTAACCCATCAGATGAAAGCCTTCCCTCCCCAAGCTGCTTTTGGGAGTATTCTTCTTATAGCAACAGAAAAGAAACAAGCACAGAAATTGGTACCAAGAGTGGGGTGTTACCTGATGAAATCTTCCCATGTTGTCTTAGGGGGAAGACTATGGAAATGTTTAGAATCTGAAACTATTGAGTACTCAGTTTTTAATGCACAGTTGTTGTGGGAGCTTGGATTATAATTCAGACAATGGAGGTCTGGCTTGTAACACTTCAGAGGGAAGCAAAGTCTCCATTAGGGTCTTTGTGATATTTTGGATTATTAATCTGTGGTTGCTGATCAGCTGAGGCTAAAGAAGCAGCTTGATTAACAAGAGACCAGCGTCACCAAAGTAAAACCTTTTGTGCTTTACTGGGACAATCAATGCTGGTCAGCTGAGGCTAAAGAACCAACTGGGATTAATGAGATCAGCCTCACTGAAGTGAAATATTCTGGGAATTACTTCTTTAGGGTCAGTACACAAGCTGTGGTCCAGAAGGGCCAAGGGTGCATCTCAAGCTGCTAGCTGGAATTTGGCAATATCTAAGGGTCACCTACCTGGTTCTAGTTTTGAAACCACAAGAGAGACAAGATTGAGGGGGTCATAGAGAACAGCTGAGACTAAGTAACAACCAAGAGAGGCCACTGATGAAGGTCTAGCCTCAACTTCAGTGGAGACTCTGGGATATTGGAGATGTCAGGCGTGTAGAAGTTCTGCCACAAGCAATGGCAATTGCGGATTATTATTGTGGATAGAGGGGCCTGAGCCTACTAGACAAGCTGCCCGCTACAGAAAGCATAGCTGGTGAGGGGGGCTGCTAGACTTTTGAGGAACAGAGGATCATGAGTGGATCCCAGATGCTGGACACTGAGCTATAGAATCTGGATTTTGGTTTTACTTTGATAGGACTGTAACTATGTCTCCCTTCTTTAGGAATAAGAAAATAAATCATGGGCTGCAGAGATGGCTCAGCGGTTAAGAGCACTGACTGCTCTGCCAGAAGTCCTGAGTTCAATTCCCAGCAACCACATGGTGGCTCACAATCATCTGTAATGGGATCTGATGCACTCTTATAGTGTGTGTCTGAAAACAGCTGCAGTGCTCTCATATAAATAAAAAATAAATCTTTAAAAAAAAAAAGAAAGAAAGTAAATCATTTGGTAAAACCGAAGTTTTACAGGAGCCCACAGCTAAGAGAGTTTGAACTTTTAAAGAGATAGTAAACTTTTAAAGTGTTACATCTTTTTTTAAAGATTGTTATACTTCATTACAAAAGGGGGAAAAAGCCAGAAAGCCAAGCCCAGAGTGGTGGCACAGAACTTTAATCCCAATGCTTAGGAGGCAGAAATAAATGGATCTCTGCTGAGTTCAAGGCAAGACTGCTCTATAAAGTGAGTTCCAGGACAGTCAGAACAGAGAAACCCTGTCTTGAAAAACAAACAAACAAACAAATAACATAAAGAACCAGAAAGCACCCAAACAAAAAAGTTCTTGCTGAAGGCTGAGTTCTGCCAACAGGTATGTTCCAGGCTGAGCTGACCATGGCAAACTGCCAAAGCTTCAGTTTTCTTGGGCTGTAACCTGTGTTCAGTAAACTAACATGTTGGGAGCCGACTCTGAGCAGAAAGCGGCTATCATCTTTGTAGCCATCTCGAGCCATATACCCTGACAAGAGACTTGTTTTCAACAGCCTATAACAGCTGAGCACACTCTGATAATTATCTTGATATACCCATGATTTTTTTTCAATCAAAGCCAGGCAGTGGTGGCACACGCCTTTAATCTCAGCACTTGAGAGACTCAAGGCGAGACTCAAGGCGAGACTTGAGGAGAGACATAAAAGGAGAGACGTGAGGAGAGAGCAGAGCAGACTCTCTGTCTTGTCTCCAGATCAGACTCCCTGTCTTGTCTCCATTCTTTGCGTCTCCGTCCCCACTCTCTCTCTCTTGCTAGGCCCTGACCCGTGGACCGGAGCAGCAGAACAGGCTGTTACACTAACACATTCATGTCTAAGCTCCCTTGGAGAGGATCTTCCAACCTTTAACCTTCATGTGCATCTTTAACCTTCTTATGAGGAGTGACTTTCAGAGAACCCTAATTCTGTATAGTGAAGGACAAGATGGAGACAGATGTGTCTCAACTTGAGAACTAGCGAAGGGATGACCGCTTTGCAGACAGCCAGAGCCCAGTGGTAGCTGTAGACTGCTTCCAATCATCGTGTTTGGCCATACACTCCAAGTCAGACGGAAACTCACTGACAAACTCTCTTTGCTGCATCATAAGGACAACACTAATATCAGCTGTCATTTTGAAATATTTGATGTCAGACATCGCTATACACTTTCCACACAAAGGACTTGAAGCAACTAGCCTCTGAAAAGCAACTCTTCAGTCAGGATGAGGCACGCCACCTAGTGTCTCTCTGAAGGACTGCATGATCTTTCCTCTTCAGGATACTTTGCAGTCAAACAGTATCTGCCAAGGCTGTTAAATACATATGCATGTGTGTGTGTTTACTAAAGACTAAGGGGTATATCTTGGTGACAGAGTATTTGGCTAGCATGTAGAAAGTTGAGGGTCCAAAACCTAGCAACACCACAAAAAAGATCTGAATGAAATTATCTATACAAAGAACTTCAAAATTTCTCCCTATACATAAGATATATACTGTTGTCCATTTTATTATATCCTCTCTTATGTGTTAATGAATATTTATTTCCACCTGACCTTATTTGTACAACTGTAAAGAGAGGCCATTAGAGCACACTATTTACAGGATTAAAACAAATAGGATTACATGAAATTAAAAGGCTTCTTTGCATAAAGAAAATAGTGAAGAGGCAACTAACCGAAGAGGGAGGGGAATCTTTGCCAACTACACATGAGACAAGGGATTAACATCCAGGACATAGAAAGAGCTGCAGGTAAATGCAAATTAAGACTGCTTTGAGCTGGGCACGGAGGCACATGCCTTAAATCCCAGCACTCTGGAGGCAGAGGCATGTGGATCTCTGTGAGTTCAATGGCCAGCCTGGTCTACATAGTTCCAGGATAGCCTGAGTTACCTAGTGAGACCCTGTCTTGAAATACACCAAAAGCAAAATCAAAAAATAAAATTGCTTTGAGGTTCCATCTCACTGCAGACAGCATGGCTGTCACCAAGAAACATGATGGCTCAGTAAAAGCATTTGTCACCAAACCTGACAACATGAGTTCAGTCCTGGAGATCCACAGGACATGTAACTTCTGAAAGTTGTTCTCTGGCTCTGCAGCGGTGTTGTAGGTTCTCTCATGTATGTGATCTCATGCACATGTACATACACATACACACAATTAATTAATTAATTTTAAAAAGATGGCAAATGCTAGTATGTCCTTAAAAGGCAAATATCACTCCCTGCTGGTAGAAATGTAAATTTGTGCAGCCACTACCAAATTCAATATGGAGAGAGTTCTTAAAAAAAAAGAAAAAAAAGACAACGACAACGAAGAAGCTGAGCAGACAGATCACTGAGTCCACTGCAGCTGGGCTACAGAGCGAGCTCCAGGACAGTCAGGAGTACAGAGAAATAGAATGAACCTAGATGTCCATCAACAGATGAATGGATATAGAAAATGTGGTCCATGCCTAACATGGTGACACTCGCCTATAGTCCTAGTACTTGGGAGGCAGAGGCATGTGGATCTCTGTGAGTTCAAGACCAGTCTGGTCTACATATCAAGTTTTAAGCTAGCCAAAGCTACACAGTGAGACCCAAAAATACCTAGCTCCATAGGGAGCCTCAAAAATACCAAAAGTAAATTAAAAATAAAAACAAGTGATCCATATATATGTCTTAGAGTTTTACTGCTGTGAAGAGACACCATAACCAAGTCTTATAAAGGACATTTGGATCTGGTTTACAGGTTCAGAGGTTCAGTCCAGTACCATCAAAGCGAGAACATGGCGGCATCCAGGCAGGCACGGTACAGGAGGAGCTGAGAGTTCTACATCTTCATCTGAAGGCTGCTAGCAGAATACTAACTTCCAGGCAGTTAGGATGAGGGTCTTAACCCCCACACCCACAGTAATACACCTACTCCAACAAAACCACACTTCCACTCCCTGGGCCAAGCATATACAAACCATGACAATATACAGTAGAATTTTATACAGACATAAGAAAAAATGAAAGCATAGCCATTTGTGGGAAATGTATACAATTGGAAGTCACTATATTAAGCAATATAAGTTAGACTCAGAAAGACAAACATTCCATGTTTTATGTTCATAAGTATATGTGTATTTGTAAGTGTATGTGTACGGATCACGTTACTAGGAAGAGAGTCATGAGAAGGGAGGAAAAGACCTTCGGAGAGACAGGAAACAGCTGTTGGACTAGAAAGCAGAAGGGCTCTAACTGGGCAGGCAATCGATGGAGGCATGGAAGGATGGAGGGATGAGGGATAAAGGAAGGGATAGAGGGAGGCATAGAGGGAGGGATGGAGGGAGAAAAGGAGGGAGGGGAGGGAAGGAGCTGAAGGAGGGTGGGTAGGGTGAAGAACAAAAGCTATGAAGTCAGTGTGATGAAACTCACTGCTTTGTACGATCTTTTTTTTTCCCCCCCTTTGGTTTGTCGAGACAGGGTTTCTCTGTGTAGCTCTGGCTGTCCTGGAACTCACTCTGTAGACCAGGCTGGCCTCGAACTCAGAAATCCGCCTGCCTCTGCCTCCCAAGTGCTAGGATTAAAGGCCACCACCGCCCGACACAATCTTTTTTTTAAGTTAGTACTGTTAGTACTTCTAAGGGCTTTCCAAGTTCCTCTTATATAATTAATAAATCATCTTCATTTTAGTCTGTTCTTTCAGTCTACAGTCTTAAACTGTAATCACATACTCTTCCCATCGTGTTCTCATAAATCTCTCCCCGTTACACTGTCTTTTCTTTCTTTCTTTTTTTTTTTTTACCAAGTAAGAATCCTTTAATCTGAGAACTACAGGTTTATAACCAATTTCTCTTTTTATTTTTTTATTGCATTATTTTATTTATCTACATTTCAGATGCCATCCCCTCTCCCCATTTCCCCTCCCTAGAAACTCCCTATCCTATCCCCCCTCCTCCTTTTTGCTTTTATACCATTTTAATTACATGCAAGTATTAAGGTCAGTTCTAGGTTGAGGGTCTAGCAATACAATAGTTGCAAATAGTCAAGGAACAAGCAATACAATAAACACAAATAGTCAAAGAACAAGCAAGGCATTCAACTCAATTATGTGAATACTCCCGTGATCATAGTTTCTAAGGGGTTATCAGGATGACCAAAATATCTGAGCCAACATAAGCCTTTCTATTCCCTATTCTTTTTTAAAAGCACACAGTGAGGGGCCGAGAGATGGCTCAGCAGTTAAGAGCACTGGCTGCTCTTCCAGTGGACTAGGGTTCAATTCCCAGTATCCACATCAAGTGGCTCGCACCTGCTTATAACTCCAGCGTCAGAGGATTTGATGCTTTCTGACTTCCAAGGGTACTTTGCACACGTGTGGTGCATATAAACTCACAGACACATAAGTAAGACTTGATAAATCTTTTTTTAAGTGTTACAGAAAAAACAAACTCAACACATACTTGTGAAATACGGTATTTTAAAACTATTTTAGAAACGGTACCATGTTTTTCACGAGTTAGCTAAGCCCATGTTACAAACGTTGGCAGCGCCAATGCTAAGATCTAAATCCATGCCTTTCACTTTACGCTAACACATCTTCAAATGTAGAATCTACAAGGGCGTTCTAGCATTGTTTTGCTTTTCTTAGGCAAGAACAATCCTGACTATTGAGTGTTTTGCCTGAAATTACACCCAAAAAGTCTTTAAAACGCGTTAGCACGTTAACTTCTCGAGCAATTCATTTGACAGGTTCTTGCGAACTCGCAAGCAGCAACATGGCTTGTTCCACGAGCAACTGTGTGTGTGTGTGTGTGTGTGTGTGTGTGTGTGTGTGGTGTACGCGCGCGCCCCTGCCTTAAAGAACATGTAAATTGTTTATTATCCGTCTATTTAGCAACGATGCTGATTGAATCCGGGACTCCTGTATACGCTAAATAGCTCAACCGATGAGCTACATCCCCAGTCCTCCACCAGCAATTCAATGGGTGAAGAGCCCAATCCCGGGTACTGAGCTCGCGGGTGCTGAAGCTGCACTGTCTCTGCCCACGGATGGGAGAGGCGCACACCGGTGGGAGAAAGAAGTGCCGCAGCAAAGGGCTCAACCCTTGAGCCTCCCGGACTCCCTCCTCGGCCATCCTCCGCGGCTCCCGCAGAACCACCCGAACCCCGGAGCGAGCCCGGGCCCCGGAGCCTCGTGCTCACGGAACGAAACCCGCGAGCTTCAGGGTACTTCAGCCGGAGCAAACCCGCCGCAGCGGTCCTCCGGCCCGGTCCACAGGGCAGCAGAGCGGCCGAGAACTCACCCCGCGGCGGAGCTCCTCTTGCAGCTACTCCTCAGAGCCAGTGCAGCCGCCTGGGAGCACCTCAGGACGGGAGCGGAAGAAAAGGCCGCCGAGCGGCGGGCGCGGCCCAAGCCGGGTACGGCTCCGCCCGCTTCTCGCCAGACACTCCCACATCACGTTCTCATTGGTCAGTGCGGACACCGGCTCCCTCAAGGCCACGCCTCCGGCCACAGCGGATCCGACCTAGGAAGAGCTGGTCCCAGAAGCAGCCAGACTCCGGTTCTCAGGCTCTCACTGCAGGGAACGGAGCTGCCCGCTGCCGGCTACTCGCTGCTCCCCACGGCCTTCGGTCTGTGAAGGAGAAACCGGGAAGCCACAGAGCCAAATGACTCTACTCCAGAGGGTAACTCTGTATTACCCTGAACCTCCGCAGTCGCAAAGAAATCATCTTGCATTTACTGTTTTTACCCTAGAGCTCCATAATTTGAAACGTGCTAACTGAAAACTGAGAACCCAGAGTCACCAACGCTAGCATTTCGCAACTCTTGCATTCTTTCTGTGTATATTTCTCCCACACCGAACTCTTGAAAATTTACCACTTATTATATACAAGAAACTGAGTACATTTTCAATCATATCCCATACACTATCGTATTTATAGCCCCTTGCTGCCTCAAAAGGCCATACACACATGCACATATTAAACTCAGGAGCTATTAAAAATCAACCGAATATATCTGAATTCACTTCTCGTAAACGTCTTAAACCAGAGCTCTCCCGTCTTCTTTTTTTCATTAATTATTGATTTACTTTACAACCCGACCGAGCTTCTCCTTTTTTAAATTCTTAAATTTGGCATATTTGGAGTCAGTCCAGACCAATTGTCTTGTCACGTTCTGGATTTATGGGATTATTTCCTCGTGATTAGATGTAGAAACATTTAGAACAACGGCGGATATTCACAAGACTTCATTTCTAGACTTGCACACTGCCAGTTTGTCGTTATTAACCTCCGAGCAAAAAGCAAAGAGCAAGACGCTGCTTGCTCAAGACTCCTCTCTCCTCAACAAAGCCCCTCCTCTTTGCTTTGACTAGTGATGTGGACTGCTGGGTTTGTTTGGAATTCAATTGCTCCAGTCAACTTCTGTCACTTAGACTGCCCGCCTTTGGCCATTGGAAGCCGGCTCACGGTGCCCCAGTGTCCCGGGGAATGTCTTAGCTTCTTGCACTCCCTGTTCTCTAGCACAATGCCTACCAGTTCTCAAAATGTCTTCCTTGCCTTGGAAAGTTTTGTTATAAAGTCCTTCTATATGTTTCCTTTTATTATTATATCACATAACATAAAACAGAGCATAGTTGGGTTCTCTTTAGAAGAAGAACTAATATAATGACTATATATTAAAAGGAGATGTATTCAACCACTTTACCTGATATGGTCTGGGTAGTCAGTCCAAGGATGACTGCCTACACTGTGGAAAGGCTGGGAACCAGGCAGCTGCTCAGTCTAAAAACCTGGGTGCCTCAGTGGTCCCAACATGATGCCAAAGGCTCCTTCGGTCCACATTGGAGAGCCAATGAAGCCTGGTTCTGGTGCCAGCAAAGGAATTTAGAAGCAGTGGCAGAATCGCTCACTAGCAAGCGGCTAAGGCAAGTAAGCAAGCAAGCAAGCAAGCAAGCAAGCAAGCAAGCAAGCGAAGGGTTTTCCCATGGGGCTTCTTGTATATCCACTGCTGATGGAAGGTGTTGGCCACATTCAGGAGAAGTCTTCCCATTTCAGTTTTCCTGCCCAAAAACATCCCTTACAGGTGCCTAGATAACTGCCTCAAGGGTATCCCAGGAGGCTTGATCTGTCAAGTTGACAAGCAGTGTTACCCTCACAAATAATATGCTTCTCTCCACAGATATTTTTAAAATTGTTCTCAGACTTATTTGTTTCCACTTAACTTATGAGTGTTTTGTGTGCATGTGTGTGCATGTGTGTGCATGTGCATGTGTGTGCATGATCTCTGTGGACACCACATGGATGTCTGGTGTCCACAGAGGTCAGAAGAGGGTATCAGATCTCCTAGAAAAGTACAGATGATTATATAAGCTGCTATGTGGGTGCTGGGAACTGAACCCAAGTCCTTTAGAAGAGCAACAAGTGTTCTTAACCACTGAGCCATCTCACCACCCTCCCCAGATATTTTTAAATCATGAGTGATAGATATCTCTAACTTAAAAGCCTGTACCACGGGCTTCAGTCTAGCCTCCTCCTTTCTCTGTGTCTTTCATCTAACCTAGTAAATTCTCTTATTCCCCCAGCATTAAGACATTTATCTATTCCTTCTGTCCTATATGCTACACAAAGTAGTTGACGCTGTGCCAGGAGTGGCAGTAACAGGCTAGTGGCTCGTGGGCTGTGAATGAATTCACCAGAGACTGAAGGCAAAAATGGAGTTACTAAAGTACACTTCAGAAAAGCCACAGCAGATGAGAGAGCGGGCAGAACTACCTCGACAGTGGCTTTCTAAGCAGCCAACTCTAGAGATGGGGAAGTTCTATGCAGGTTGTTGGGCAGTGGTTCAATGTCACCAGAGTAATTGCAATTCAGGCTTATCATGGTTTGCAACAACCTGACCTTGAAGTAGCCACGGTCTTGCCTGAGTCAGCCTAGCACAATCACCAGTCCCGATTGGCATCCACAGTTTGCAATGAAGGCTAGTTTTGATTAACTCTTTCTGCCAAGATAACGGTCCTGTTTGGAGACAGCAGTGACCTTGCCCTGAGCTCTGCCTGCTCTGAGGCAAAACTGCCCTGTTCATCTCAGAATGAGCTGGGCTGAGACACACCAGTAGCATCATCAGCAACAAACTCACTAGATTTGAGACTTCTTTGAAATTGTTTTAATCTTTATAATCTTTTAAATATAATGCAATTAATGTATAGTGTTCCAAAGTGCTTGAATTAACATTTCTTTTTAAAACTTTTTTTAAACATTCACTTACATTGTGTGTGTATGTGTGTGTTGTCTTACAAGAAAACTCGGGGAGTCAGTTCTCTCCTTTCATCGTGGGTGGTAAGGTTTGAACTTATGTCATCAGGCTTGATGCCAAGCTCCTTTACCCATTGAGTCATATAGCAGGGCTTACGATTATGGTATCAGTTTGTTTGCTAACTATTTTATTCTATGTGTATAAATGCTTTGCCTGCATGTATGTGTGTGCCCCACCTTTGTCTAGTATGCAAGAAAACCAGAAAAGGGCATCAGATCCCCTGGAATTGGAGTTACAAATGGTTATGAGCTGCCATATGGGTGTTGGGAATCAATCCTCTGGAAAAACATCCAGTGCTCTTAACTACTGAGCCATCTCTTCCACATACATAGTATCAGTTTCTAACTGACGCCATATTATATTTGTCATTTTTAAAATTTGCATCCATTTCAGAGCTATTTTATGGCTCCCATTTCCTGAGCTCTGCTCCCTTCCTCCTATCAGGAAGCACTGGAGTTGGTGACCAAGCATCGTTAACTCCTAAATTACCTTCCTGATGGGCGGAGATGAGCGACAGGAACACTTAGACCAGTACTTCAGCTCCAGGTGTCCCACAAGTCTGCAGTTAAGGGTCACTTAGGGTTGTGGTCATCTCCAGGCTTGTCCCCAGAGTGAAAGTGAAATACTTGCAAGTTCACATAGCCTGGCTGCTGGCACGCTCTGCAAGATCCTCTTTCAGGCGCACTTTTGCCTGCTGGCAGTCTTCATAGCCAGGCTGGTCATCAACTGATGAAATCATTTCCTGGGACTTCATAGCAAAGTACCACAAAAAGGATTGATTTTCTCCAAATTCAAAAATCAGATGTAACAGAATAATATTTTCTTTTTTGTTTTCAGAATGATGTTTTCTATGAAGGCTTTAGGGCGCAGCCTGTGGATTTAAGTCCTTTCTCTGGCAGCGTCCTCATTCTGACCTCTGCCAGGGGCCTTTGGATGGTGCTCCCCATGTGTGTCTCTACTCCTAAATTTCTTTCTTAAAAATATGACAGTCCCAGGATTGAGACTCACTCCAACCCAGTGTCATGTTTTAAAATGTCTAGGATGTCCCCCAAAGGCCCATACGTTCCAAGCTTAGTCTTCCATTAGCAGCACTTGGAGGAAGTGGGGCAAGTCTTCCTTCTAATTGTTAGAAGTGTGCTTTTTCAAGTAGATAGTGGGACTTCAATCTATTCTTTTCTCTCTGTCACTTCCTGGCTATGAGGTAAGTTCTAATGGCTTTGCCACATGCTCCTTGTGGACTTGTCACCAGATAAGTCTTCAAAACTATAAGCCCACATAGCTCTTTTCTCTTTGTAAGTGAAGGTATCCCAGGTGTTTGTTATAGTCACAGAAAGCTGACTAACATTTCCAGCATGATCATATCTAACTTTATTGTGTTGGCAAAAACAAACAAACAAACAAATAAAATAAAACCTAGCAACAGCAATAACAAAAAAAAATGCTGTTTCCAAGTAATATCTCAAGACTTTATCTTTGGGGCTTAGGAAACACATTTAAACCTACAACAGCTAAGGATGGCAGTTTCTTGCATCGTGGACCTCCCTATAAAACTGTTCGTGACTGCTTCACTTGAAATGGAAAAGTCAAAGACAGAAGCCACAGTCTTTTGTGTACTAATAGTGAATGTGGTGGTTTGAATATGCTTGGCCCAGAGAGTGGCACTATTTGGAGGTATAGCCTTGTTGGAGTAGGTGTGTCACTGTGGCCATGGGCTTTAAGATCCTTATTCTAGCTACCTGGAAGCCAGTCTTCTCCTAGAAGCCTTCAGATGAAAGATGTAGAACTCTCAGCTCCTCTTGTACAATGTCTGCCTGGATGCTGCCATGTTCCCACCTTGATGATAATAGACTGAACCTCTGAACCTGTAAACCAGCCCCAGTTAAATGTTGTTCTTATAAGAGTTGCCTTGGTCATGGTGTCTGTTAGCAGCAGTAAAACCCTAATGTGGGACTGTGAAAGCTTGATTCCCAGTTGAGCTAAGGCTAGAAACCCTGGGGACCCTGAAGGGACAGTAGGCCTTTTGCCTGTTCCTGGGCACCAAGGCTCCTGTCACATAGCCACAGCCCCCCATAGATTTGTGGCCATCAGTCACGTTTGGGCAA